TTTATATAGACGTCCGTCCTGACACAACGGACGTCTGAACGACGTCACCCACATAAACGTCGAACGTACGCCGGACGTCAAAAGGCCAAAATATCGGACGTCTAAAGCCCTTTCTGCACTTCTAGAGTCTTCCAGAGTCTTTTAACCAAAGAAATAATTGTTCTTGTCATATGAATAAAAGTTAGACTAAGGTCATCTTTTGGTGGTTCTTAAGGGGATAATAGATAAAGCTTAAAGATGTATGTTGTCCATTCGATGGGTAACGAAGAAAAAGAAGAATATAAATATTTTGTATCTTTAGTTTTTCTTGTTTATAAATTTTTGTTTTTACTCTGATAATTTGTAATAGATTGAGTAATAAAGGATGAATTTATAAAATGATTTTTTGTTCATTATAATTTATAATGATAGACAAAGATTTATATCTTTCCGATATAATAAACTATAATGAAAATCTAGTGATAAAGTTTGAAATCTCATCAAACTTGTGTTAGTATATATATTATTTATTTGAATAGGTTTAAACTTATCTAATGAAATACCCCTTTTAAAAATATGTAAATTTAAAAATCTATCGTTTTAATCACCATAAAAGAAGATGATCTAATGAAATACCTTTTTGAAAATATGTAAATTTAAAATCTATTGTTTTAATCACCATAAAATAAGAGAGATTGTTAAAGTAAAGTCCAACAAATTTTATTTTTATTAAGTCTATTGCACAAGAAAGTATAAATTGTGATTTTTTGAAGCATTGCATCATAGGCGGAAGTGTTCCATCTACTACTAAATGCATAACATCTTTCATACATATCTTCATCATGTAAGTTAACACTTGAAAAAACAACAAATATGTGTAATTTTAAGTATTTTTATGCTACATCTCAAATATTATAAGTGCTTGTTTTATTTATGCAAAGAATATGTTCATGTTTTCCATCTTACAAGAGTATCTTGCAAATATTTGTCAACTTTTATCACTCAATCAACTTCAACCATGACATTGCCCACCTCTTCCCTGCTTATTTTATCACATTCTTTGTTTAGACACTAGTAATCACTATTAATCTTTCGTATCACATGTTTAACTCCTTTAATTGAGCTAAGCCTTATAAGTCATGTTATATATCATGATGTTGCATCAAGACAAGAAGTTATGTGCATTTGATGTTGTAGGAAAAACATTTAATGCATTTCTATACCTGTGCATGGACAAACACAAGAAAGAGAACTCCAATATGCACAACATCTAAAAAAGGATTTGTAATAAATTTGTTCTCCTTAACCTCTATATATAAAATATCTATAAGAAAAAAAAGGAAAGACAACAATGATAACACTCTTAACAACCTTACATTATTTAAGTAGTCTTCAACTTCTAATTTGTGAAAAAGAACATTATTGTGTTCATTGAAAACCTAAGAAAATATTCTAAATCATGTATTTATCTTAGGATGTTACCTCTTTTAGTCAGAAACATTTGATAATTTAGATCACACCCTTTTTGCAAAAGCAAAATTGTATAGCTACAAATAGTTGAGTTTTAAATAGTATTGATCATATTTAATTAAAAATAACTTACATCCAAACAATACTCGTCTGTGTAGCTAGAAGTGGTTATGATTAAGATAATACTTAATTTTATACCATAACAATTGTAATTCAAATAATATTATATCTTAATGAGGAATTATAATGATCCATATAATACTAAAGTTTAGCTAAAAATAACTAAGATCCAAACAATACTCAGTATATATACTTTATAACAATAGGATAGTTTGTTAGTAAAAGTTTATTATGTTTATTAACAATTGAATCTAATTTGAATTTACAAACAAGTCAATATAGAAATTTTAAGCGTGAATGTTTCTCTTCTCTAACACTTTTAACTTATATATTATTGAACGTCCTTTAATCATATAATAAAAAATGTTCTTAAACAAGACATACGAAATATTTTTATGATACGTCCATCAACTTAAAATTGCATGTAACTATCTTTATCAAAAATTGATCATACAAAAGCTTGATGACAATGTGTCTGTCAAGTTAAACATTGTCTTACTGTTTTAACAAAAACAGTTGATTTTGCAAAATATAAAAAAGAAAAGAAATAAAATTCCTGTTTACACATTATGCATGTGAATAATATAATTAATTTAAAGTCTGTTGTATATTTTCTTCTAAATTAATATACGATGTCGTGATTTTTATGTATTTTTGAAAATGTGACTAGTAGAAGACACTCATCCATATAATTAATTTTTACAAAAAAAAAAAAATAAAATCAAATCAAATGACGAGATCCGAGAGGCAATATTTTATTGATAAGAATTAAGCTTGTGGAATGTTTTCTACATCGTCTTGAATTGGTAGGAATCTGCTGAGTACATGATTTAGTTAAATTTTACTTTGAAAAATAAATTCTATGTGTATGTAAATATTAATCTTATTGATGTTTGAAATGTACACATTACGTTTATGTGTATCTGAACAGTTATTTAATTGTTATAACAAAAGTTAAAGTTATATAAGATTAGGACCAAAAGTTTAAAATTTAATTTCAATCTTCCTTCATTTAAATTTATTTTCATATTTTCTTACATTATAAAATAAATATAATTATGAAAACGACTGTTTCAAAGTAAAATACATGTTTTAAATAGACCAATCGCATATTAAAATTTGCGTTAAATTGATAAATAGAAAATATACTTAATACATCAATTTATTTAAAAATCAATAAAATAATTAAAAATAATATATTATTAAACTAGATAAAGAAACAGAGAGAATTCATTAATAAGCTTCAAATAAATACTTAATCCAGTATCATAAGTGATAATCTATCATTATGAATCAAGATCACCAATTTATTAAATCATATAAAAATTATGAGGGAAAATTTATTAATAAATTTTAAATAAATATCTAATAATTATTATAAATGACATCAATTATTTGTAAAGTCATATTAATTATCATAATTGATATTTCAAGATAATAAACTATTGTGTTTTTTTTCTGCTTAAAATTTAAAAAATAAAGAGAGTTGTGAAATAAGATTTCAACAATAAGCTTATCTCAATAACTCAAAAATCTATTCAAAAGTAAAGTATGATTCACACCACCTATTGATGAAAACAATATTACATAAAAATACGTATATCGATCACCAAAACATTGTATAATATATTGAAAATCAACATTATTTACTTCAAGTTATTAGTTTTTTCTTATAATATATTTTTTGGTATGACTTCAAAATATATTAATTTTGATATATTATAATTTATTTCGGTATCTCAGTCTTATGATATATAAGGGTCAAAATTAATAACAGTTTAAATACGTTTTTTTTTTCAATTTTTCAAAGTAATTTTTAAAAACAAAATTATAAATAATGCGAAAGATTTTTGAATTCTAAAACAAACAATATTTTAGATGTAATAATTAACTTTTCTTATAAACATTAGTCCAGTAACAACGAAAATTTTCTTAATTTTTTCCCGAACAAAAACATTTTAAATATCCACTCCAAAGTTCCAAACTTCAAAAACACAAACTACACTGAACAAATTAATATAAAAATAAAATCTAGAGAATTCAAATTCAACACTAACTTACTTCATTAATGATGATAAAGTAATAACACCATTAGAATTAATTAAAATTTTGATGGGAATATTTTATCCTTTCCCCTTTGTAATCTAAAAGGGTGATTGTATATCCAAGTGCTCGACTAATATAATGTTATGTTAGTTTTGGTGTATATGAAAAATAATTCTTTTAATTTTCAATGGAATTTTTTGGTGCTATTAATACTATTTATGGTTAAGACATGAAAATGTAAACTCAAACTGAAATTTATTATCCAAACTCAAATATATTATCCCATTGGCATTATAGTTTGAAAAAATATATATAGAGAGAGATAGAAAAGATGATGAACCAACAGAAAGAAGGCAAGTGTCCCATTACATTTTTGGTATGAAACATCGAAAAAGAATCATTAACACACAAACACAGAACAGACATATTAATACGAATTTCTACAAAAATAATAAATAAAAATGTAAACAGAAGCCGAAACCAGGCTAGGCTCACCCTTACCCTCTCCTCTATGCTCCATATAAGCCCATCACATTCACATACTCCAACCCACTCTCTCTCTCTAAGTTCTGACCCCAATTTCTGTGGCGGCTCTCTCTCTACTTATTCTCTTCTCAGATTGAGATTTGGATCCATCTTCTTCTCCTTCTTTCTGTCTCTGATTTGATCTTTTCCTTCCTCTTCGTGTTTTTTTTCATCCGGTTGGGTTGGGGTCTTCAGCTTCAACTTCAACGATAGCTATGGTTACCCCACAGCCACAGCTTCAGGTTCAGCCTCAACAGCCCGCACCCTCTTCGCAAGATGAGGCCTTGAAGAGGAACACCGATTGTGTCTACTTCCTTGCATCTCCTTTGACATGCAAAAAGGTTCTTTCTGGCACTTTCTTTTTGTTTTTACAGGAAAGAGGGGGGGAAATCTCCTTTTTGCCGCTTTCGGAATTCTCTGCTTTAGGGTTTTCAGATTCGTATGTTTCTGCAAATAGTTTTTGTGGTTATTTATTTTCAATGGGGAAATCGAATTTTGTGGAAAAGGGGTTGTGGAAGTCTGTGTATGAATTATCGAATTTTCAAAATTGGGGATGGCGATAGGAAATTCTGTGGATTGAGAGGGTTTTATTTTACTTTCTCTTTTTCGGATTGCGTTTTTTGATGTATAGTTTTTGTGAAACTGTTATTATTGATCGTTGTTTACTAATTTGATCTTTTTTGGCTTTATTTTTTTTTTGTATTTTTTCGCTCCTTTCTCTTTTATTTGATAAGGTGAGGGGAATGAGGGAGAACGGAGTTCTTGAACCCTATTACGATTAGATATAATATTTTTTTTTTAATTTTTTAATTTTCTTTAGTTAGGTCAATTGTGTGGATCCCGCTGAAAAAAATAAGGTTGGATCAATCAAGTTTAGTCTTTTTTTTTTGGATGGTTTAAAGTGTTATTCAATGTGTTCTGGTTGTTTCTGAAAGCAAAGCAAGAAATTTGCATAATGAATGAACTTTCATTACAACCAAATGTTTAACAGAGTGCTACTACGTGGTGACAAGAGCGTATACGAGTCATGTTGATCGATTAGTCTCAATAGTGTTCTGTTAGCAAGATCTAGGATGTCCACTACTGTTGCTGGCACTGTTTTGCATAATCCTTGAAGATTTTACTGTTATCATCAAACCGACTGCAACATTTTACTTGAAATTGATATTTGTTTCCATAGTTTTTCTGTTAAATGCGAGTACTTGTTTGCTTAGTTCTTCTAAATGTGTCGTGCCATTTCTTCTTGGCAAACAAATCGAGTAATTTTACTGTCATCCTGTTCTTTTTGGGCCGTTGTGATGCTGTTTGTTTGTTTTTTTCTGTCGTGAGTATACTATTGTATGTAGCATTGCAACTTTCCGATATATGCTTTTTGCATATCCGAAAGAGCAAGCATTGGTTATCAAGAATGTGAGGCTGTCTTGTCATCTAAACATTTTTAACTCTGGATTTTGTTGCTGGCGCATTTTGATTTGTTTTCCTTTTGTTGGAACAGGGAAATGAATGTGAGTACCGCCATAGTGAGTATGCACGTGTTAATCCTAGGGATTGTCGTTATTGGTTGAGTGGCAACTGTTTGAATCCCAAATGTTCATTTCGTCATCCGGTGAGAGTCTCTATTCATGAAAACCAAATTTTATACTTTCATGTCAATTTTTGGCCTACTTGTCTATTTTTCTCTGTTATTGTCTCATTGTATGGACTTTGCTAACTGCATTTTGTTTTTGTATTCAGCCTCTTGATGGCTTGTTAGGAACACAGGCAGCAACAGCTGGTGGACCATCTGTATCTGCACCCCCATCACAGATTCCAACAGCATCCGCAACACATGCATCTTATAATTCCACTAAACAAGCTGTCCCTTGCTTTTTCTTCCAAAAGGGGCTTTGCTTAAAAGGTGACAGATGTGCCTTCATGCATGGACCTCCTGCTCCTAGCACTGGTAATAAAGTAGCTGCTCAGGTTCCAGTTACCAGCCAAGGAGCCGAGAATCCTGGTTTTAAGAAGCCTTTTGGAACCAATGAAAAATATACTCAGGAAAGGAAAACTTCCCAAGGAAGTGTTGCAAAGTCAGGTGGGGGTCCTGAACCTAAACCTGCCCCAAAAATTGAATCTGCTCCTAAAAGAAATATGTTTGAATTGGAGAAGGAAATGCTACCAGTAGGATTTGATAATGAGGCTTCTAGATTTAAGACAAGTTCTCCACCAGTAACCAATGGCCCTACTGTAGTCCGGTCAAGCCGTCTGCATCAAGCTCGTGTGCCAGATGATCACACTTTCCACAGTGGCAAGGACAATGATGAGTTTCTCAGAGAATCGTCTCCTGGGTTCGATGTCCTTGTAGCCGATGAACTTAGGAATTCTGATTACTATCATGGGGAAGATGAATTTGGTAAAGCAAGAGGTCCAAATGAAAAGAACTTAGACTCTTTGAACGAATATGATTTAGGGCATTCTGGTGAATATGGTTTAGCAGCTGATATTGATCGGGAAAGATTTCGTGTGCCCCAAGGTTATGAGTCATATGATCACACGCAGGAACCATATCTGTGGGAGCAGCACAGGAAGGCTTCGGCCCATTTAGACAGAAGGACTCGCCGCAGATCTGGTAGTCCTGAAAATGCTGAGGTCTCAGATCTCCGACATCACTTATCCAAGCGCAGAAAGGTCAATGGTTTGAAATCTGTTGTCAGTCATGATTATGCCCTTGAGGGTCATGGTGAGGAACAAAGTCATCGATCCTTCTCTAGGAAGGACTCACTCCAGTTACCTCTGAATGAGAGCTCCCTCGGTAATCGCTTCCGTGGTAGAATAAAACTTCCTGGAAATGGTGGTGCTGATCAGCTAGAGAGGGATGACAGAGGGAGAATTAGAGGCAGGTTGTTGCCTGGAAGGTTGCAGGCCACTCAGCAAGGAAGGATCCATGATAGAATGCGAGGAAGGTTGCAAGATGATGAGAGGAGAAACTCAAAAGATCGATTAATGGGGAGAGAACTAATAGGTGGTGATAGGAGTGATTTTGCTGGGCCAAAAAGTCTGGCAGAGCTTAAAAATGGGAGGAACCCTGAAAATAGGGAACCACAACCACTGGGAAAGAGAGGAACTTTAAGAGATGATCACCCACAGTCTGAAGATGATCTTCAGTTTGATGGTCCAAAGCCTCTCAGTGAAATTTTGAAGGAGAAGAAAAGAGGAGGACCTGGAGGCAGAGCTGATGCAGACTCGGGGAATGGCAAATCATCTAATATTAAAAATGAAGAAGTTACCAATGGCTCAGATCCTACCCAGGTCACGAACACACAAAACGGTGTGCTGTCTGAGATCAAGGAATATGTCAACAATCAAAATAATGAAGAATCCAAGGTTGAGGTCACTGATGCAGTTGGAGGAGAGACTGGTGCAACTGATGGTCAATACGAGGAGGGAATATACGATGAAGCCGGTGAAGATCAGTATTACGAAGGTGATGATCAGAGAGAAGGAGATTATGAGTATGAACAAGGTGATGAGGGTTACTACGAGTATGAACAAGGTGAAGAGGGTGAAAATCAGGAGGAAGAGTACATGGATGAAGAAGATGGGGATGATTTTGCTAAGAAGATTGGTGTCATTCATTCATAAGCGTGGAAATTCTGAGAAAAAAGGGAGCGTGTCCTACTCATGATCAAGTCTCATACAGGTCTCTCTCTCTCTCTCTCTCTCTCTGACTGGGCAGCATTTCTGCTTAAAATTTGGTTGTAGAACTCAGAACAGCTATCACTATCAGTTTGTTTTCTTGTATTAATTAGTCCTTTTTACTCTTACTGTATTTTCATCAAATTTAATGGATATTTTTATGTGATCAGTGGGGCATTTTGCTGTGCTCTCCGCATATAAATGTCGTGCAGAGTGGTGCAGGCCTTTAACCTTAGAAAGTTAATAACATTTGCATTCACGTGCTAGTTTTATCATATACTTTAATTCATCTGCTCAATTAGCACCGTAGAAATCATTGGTTAGTTCTTTATACTCTTCAATTATATTTCTTTGCTCATCGTATATCACAATGTCTTAATTTACTTCTTTTGTAGATTTTCGTAAATTATATTATTTTTTAAAGTTTGTTTTAACTTTGTTTCATATATATTATATTATGATTCAGAATCTTGAGATACAATGTTTTAAATTGTAATATTAATGTTTCAATAAGACTTTTTTTATAAACCTCGGATTCTAGACTCCTGCTTGTGGTTGGGCTATCTTGAAATAGCTTTGAATTAGCTTTGAATTAAGGTGGATCCAATGGGCACTTGGTGGCTTTAATGTTAAGTTCACAAAACCAAAGTTTAAGATAATATTTATTAAATTTGTCGGGCAAAATAAAAATCCGATTAACTAGACAACTGGATATAATTTTGTTGTTTTTATTAAAGTGAACAATTTAGCGTTTGGTAAACATCCTGCATATTAGGATTGTTTCTACAAACATGTACAGAGTATATTGATTTCATTGATTTCATTGATTTCATTTTCAACTGCAAAAATATTCTCACGATTATATCTATTCTTTGATTTCATTTTCAACTACGAAAATATTCTCACGATTAAGAAGATTATTTCTATAAAAAAGTAAATTCCTTGTTGATCTTTTTTAAATCAATATTGTAACATAATAAAGGTATTATCATATTTAATTACTTATCATCAATAATATTGTTATCAATAATATTGTTATCGTGTCAGTTTTACTAATATTATTTTCACCGTAATTATATTACTTTATTGTTGTTTAGCCATTGTCATTAGTATTGTTATAGATATTGTCATCATTTTTATTTCATTATTTAATATCATTACTATCAATATTATGTCAATATTGTCTCCGTCGTTTCACTACTAGGATTATCATTGTTACAACTACGACCATTGTTTTCAATCTTTAACTTGGACGTCAATAGTATACTACTCGTGACAATCTAGTTTTTACAGCCTATAACAATGTTGATAAAACAACTCGTGTTGATCATAACAAGTAACATGAATCTTTTATGAACTAATGTTTATTACATAAGTGTGATAAACATTCAATAATCATATAATCTTTAAAAATGTATGCTAAATGGTGAAAGAAAATGTATGCTAAATGATGTTTAAAACAAAAGGTATTTTTATACAAACTAAAATATATCAAACCCTAATAAAGCTATAACACACATGAACTGAGGATTTGTAGACAATGCTCAACAGTCTTATTCAATTCACTTATAAATAGAAGTTTTATCATGTAGAAACAACAAAGATACTAGGTACATTTTCGTGTTACACTACTTCATTATATAATCAGATAGGGAAAAAAAGAGGAGTGAATTGTATATGTAAATCCTGTTGTGACTTCAGATAGCGTTTAGATTTTATATTCTCTTTTACATAGTTTATCTCATGTCTTCAAAATAACACTTTTTTCTTGTTATTGCCAATAATGACAATAATTTAAAAATCATGAAAATAGTGAAAAAAATAATATTTGTGTGATTTATCTTAATAAAGAGAAGATAACCAAAAGTAACTTTGTGTAGTTATGTAAGTTATAAGTGTAAGTTCTAGAAAAATTAAATATTTAAAAAGTATGGTAGTTACGGGAGTCCACAAATAAGAAAAGATAATCATTATAAAAGTGAATAATAACAAAATTGATTAGAGCTTCTTGTTATAGGTTTGGAAATATAAGATCAAAAAAATTAAATATTTAGAAAGGGTAGCATGAGAGTCGTTATTTCAAATAAGAAAAGATAATTATTATTAAAATAGTATCATTGGTTAGAGCTTCTTCTTATGATTGAAGTTAATGTGTTTGATTATTGCTATATACATAATATATGTTTATTTTTATTATTATTTGTTTTATGTGCAAATATGATGTGCATTAATATTTATAATAACAGTTGTGTATTGTCTGTTAAAGTATAAATGTGTCGTGTTTGTTTAACTATAATTTTAAGTATTTCTCTTTGGTCTTATCATAAAAAAACATGAGAAGAATACTTTATTTTTGTAAGTATGTTTTTGAGGATGAAAAGTGTTTTGGTGGAAGAATGTGAGATCCTAGAAATTTTAATAATTAGGAGAAATATACAAATGTGGTTAACTATTTTAAATAAAAGATTAAACAATTTGTTATTTATATTTAAACAATTTATTTCATTTTAAAAGATTTTTTGAAAACAAAACAAGATTTGGTTAAATTAGGACTAATCGTGTTGATTAGGTGAACCAGAAGTGCTGCTAATACTCTTTGTAAACCTGGAGAGATTAAACTTGTGTAATCTTCTTGAAGATTAGTGGAACCCCTTTAGAGTTTTTAAGGAAGAATTAGACGTAGCTTAGGTTAAGTGAATTAGTATAAAATTGGTTTAATACCCAATTTTGTCCCCAATTTGGTTGGCAAATCTTAATTTAGTCCCTCGTTAGAAAAGTGTTTGAAATGGGTTCTTACTTTTAAATTTTTGAGTCAAATTAGTCCCTTCCGATAAATATAACCAAACGGAGTTAATGGGATAATGAGATGATGATGTGAGATAATGCAATGATAACGTGTTATTTTTATATTATATGCACAATGACGTATTAGAAGTTAAACTGGATATTAAAGATTAAGTACTTGAAATTGGAGAAAAATCGATTTAGGACATTTTCTTTTCTGCTAATCACATATGCACTAGTAAAAAAACTGTTTTTTAACTTGCGTTATATGCTTCGGTTTAGGTGAAATCGAAGCCTATCAAAACACGGTGACATTTTTGTAGTTTAAGCAAACTTATACGCCTCGGTTTAAGGGGAACCGAAGCATATAAGGCATATTACCTCAATTAATACTACAACCGATGCCTAAAATCCGCTTTGAAGTCTGCACAAAGTCTATGGCTTCGGTTCATTCAGAACCGGTACGTATAACCATTTCATATTTTTTTTTTATTTTTTTCTGAGGATTATATGCCTCGGTGGAGAGTAGAACTGAGGCATATATGTGTATTGCTTCGGCTGACCCGAGGTAGTATTGCTTCGGTGGAGAGTATTGCTTCGGTGGAGACTAGAACCTGAGGCATATATCTCTGAAATTTGACCTCACTCTGCCTCAAAAACATAACCTAGAGCAGTTCATTTTTCCATCTTCCTCGAGAAACAAATGACCCCTTCCTCTTTTCCTCTTCTTTTCCTCTGCTCCAAAAACATAACCTACTGCTCCAAAATCTCCTCCACGCAAAGACTCAAGGTGACCAAACCCGAAGCCGAAAACGAGATCCCTTCGCCTTCCTCTTTGTTCGCCAAAACCCTACTGCCGGGAGCCACCACCACCTCGTCGTGCGACGGCTGCCTGCGAGCGCAACTTCCACCTCGTCGTGCGACGACTGCGAGCGCAGCTTTCACCTCGCCTGCGAGTGCGTCGCCTCTGGAGGGAAGAGTAAGCGGTGGCCGTTGAGAGTGAAGTGAGGTTGTTGATTCGCGGCGGCCATAGAGGTTGAACGGGGTTGCGCCATGGAGACGAACATGGAGGTTGGCGGCAGTGCTAGATGGTGCGTCAATGGAGGTTTCTGGTGAAAAAGGTGAGTGCGGCAACTTGCGATTGGGGTTTTTCTGATGTTGATGGTTGTGGTGCGAATTAGGGTTTGATGACAGCGGAGGAGGAGGAGAAGCGGCAGAGGCAAATGCAGAGGAGGAGAAGCAACAGAGGCAACAACGATTGAGGTGGCGGAGGAGGAAGCGAATGACGTCTCTGCGGCTTTGTAAGGGAGACGAACGGTGCGGGGACGGGGACGGGGGCGTTAGGGAACTCGTGTTGATTCGTTCGCTGGCGTCTCTGCAGCGGAGAATGTCTTGGTCTGAGAAGGTGAGATTTGGGTTTGGGATTTTTGTTTGATCTGCATTTGGGTTTCTTTGAGAGCTTAGAGCTTCGTTGCATTTGTGTTGGGTTTGACCGTGAGGAAGTCCACCTTCGAGGTAGCCAGTAGCCAGTGACGACGAACAGGTTCAGACTGGATGGCAGTAGACTCTTGGGATGGGGGCGGATTGAGCTTAGTTGGGTCTTATGCAATTTTTGATGGCAGTAGACCGTGAGGAAGTCCACCTTCTGTTGTGCCGCACACTTCAAGACCTTTGTGTTGCATTCACCGCCATTTTAGTTTTTTGTCTCTGCTCTTATAGTTCAAATAAGTATGCCAAAGTTGTGTTTAGGAAAATAGTGCAGTAACCAGTGGTGTGTAATTAATTGTGTTCATGTGTGAAGGTGAATGGATTTGCCTGCAAGGTGTGTAATTAGATTTTTTTTGTGTTGGATGGTCAATTAGATGTGGGGTTTATCACCACGGCCAACAAGCTCATCTTAAAGTCCATTAAGAAAGGTGAAATTGTTGTGTTCCCGAAAGGTTTGGTGCATTATCAGAAGAATAATGGAGATAAAAATGTAGCTCGAAAACCAATATACTACCTCGGTTCAGATCCCAACCGAGGCAGTAGAATCTGAGATATTAACTCGGTTCAGCAGAAATCGAGGCAAAATCCTACTGCTTTTTGACTCGGCTTGCAACCGAGGCAAAAAGAGGTAGACTTTTTACCTCGTCTGTATATGCCTCGGTTACAGAACCGGTGTCTATAAACGAAAATAACCGAGGCCATATCCCTTGAGTGCACTAGTGATGTCTCCCCCACCTCCACAAATTCCAGCACTCATTCATCACTTCACACACACTGCACAATTCCACACACAAAAATCCCTTCTCCTCACTTCATAAACCATCCACGCTCCCTAATAGCATACAAATACTTCATCACCACCATTCATCCAAACCCTAAACTCACAAAGCACCTCCACAATCACTAATCAAAGCTGTAGACTTCCCAATTCCACACACAAAATTCTCTTCACCTCTCTTCTTGAACTATCCACGATCATCAATAGGCCACACATTTCATGGAGAACCA